AGTGTTAAAGAAGACAATGAAATACACTCTCTGAGTCTGGAAGACATTTACATATCTAAAAAATCCAGGAAAACATTTAGTTCTAACATTTAGTTAGAACCTGTTCTCCAGGTTCACTTGCTGTGATTTAGAACATGGCCATCATATAGATTTGTTGCTGGTTCCAAAAATGGAAACACCCACATGGGAGGATACAGCCTTTCATGCCATATTGGTCATGATGACATTTGAAAGACAATTTGCTTAACACTTCTGGTAAAAGAACCAAGGATGCCACCTGAAACCAGAGTGATGTGCATTTCCTCATAGCTGCTAGTGTTTCAGTTAAGAAACTATTTGTTTTCTAATGCATGTTATCACTTGCTGTGTTTACATTATGTCAAAAATTATAAAGAAGCATAATCAAAGTTGTATTAATCCTGTGTAATTAATACTTTAAATGCATGTTATTGTTTGAATGGTTTGAGCAACATAATTCCTGAAGGAGTGGAAACAAAGGACACTGAGATGAAGCTCTGAGCAGCATGAGCTGTAGGTCTGGGCCAGAGCCCATTTATATCCTTCCTGAGAAAAAGGGGTGATGCTTTTTGACAACAAATACTTTCTTTTGGACAACACCTGTTCATTGCACTGAGTGGGGTTGTGCTGGTTTTGACTGAAGTTTTGCTTGGAAAGTTTCTCATCTTTCACGTTGTCAAAGATTTATTAGGACAACCACTTCAGATGATCAATAAATAAATAGCCTAATTGGTAGGTGTAGAGCATAAGTTTCTTTCTTGTTCTTCCTCAACAGGACATCTGGAAGCTCTTACTCAGTGTGTAAGTATTTAGAGAGTTATCGGGCTAGAGATGCCCTAACCTGTTGTGGTGAGATTAGGACATGCCACTTGCACACCTTGGCCAGCTTCTGTCTCTTCAGGGACATTCATACTCCCAGATAGGCATCTAGACACCAGACCAACAGACATCATTTCACAGCTCGACTTAATAATCCTGCCAGACCAGACTTCCACCCATTTCCCCTTCCTTCCAATATGCACTCAGAAGTAACTCCAAAAGGCCTGCAATTCCAGGGCTCCCAAGGAGAGAGAAGTGTTTCATCATCTGTGCTTGGCTCTCAGATGTCTGGTCATTTCAGTCTAAGATACAGAAGGCTGCGGAAAACCATGTCTCAAAATGATCAGATACAGTCAGGTCAGAGCACCTTGAGCTGAGCCCAGAGCACTTGCAGCAGACAACTTCTAGCTTATCCAGCTGTGGATAAGAGCCAGAAGAGGCTGGACAGGAAGGAAAATTATCCTACCTTCCATGAAGGAAAACAGGGTAATTTTTAATCCGCAAGCTGTTTCTGACTTTTACTAGGTAATCATCTCCAGCATAGCACTTTACCAATGTATGTCTAAAGATGGAAAGCTACTGTACAAAGCTTCCAAACTCTGCTGCAAGGTGTGCTGTGTGTGGCTGTGCTGCTGTCAAGCACACCTTAGTCAGCTTTGGCATCCTTTCATCTTCATTCCCTACCTGGAGTTGCTAATACATGGCAAAGTGGCCAAATGCTGTATTCGCTATGTTAGTCCTGTGTGTACTGCTACCTACAGAAACAGGCACACTTGACATGCACGACCCTAAGATCCCATAGGTGTTTTTGATGTATTCCTCTCTGGCTAAGGTGTGTGAAGCTTCATTTGTGATATTCCTGTGCACTTTGACTCTTGAACCTGTGATTAGTTGAAGACTGTTAGTAAAAACCAAAGCACTGTGCAGGTAGTAGGGTTTCCCTGTTGCACAACTGCAGCGTTCAGCAACTCGCCTTGGGAAATCTGATTCAGTGAGTTTCCTTCCAGATTGCACAACTCATGGAAATGTATATATTAAACAATGTTTTCACCTCCGTTCTCTGGGGAGATGGTGGGATATGTTAATGAGCGAGGGTAGGTTCCCCATCCTGTGGAACTCTCGTGTGAAAGGTCTTCCCATCAAAAGCTCTGGACCGCGACCCAAGTTTGCGGTGTGCCGCGTTCAGGCGGGGCTGTGCCGCGGCGCTGTCCCGCAGCCCGGAGGCGCGGGGCGGGCTGCCCGGGCCCGGGATCGCCGCCC